TATTTCAAGTGCTGACACTTTTCATGAGTGCTTTTGAGAAAGTCCAAGGGAATCTCTGCACCCAGACTATTCTAAGACAGCTCAGCACTGCAGATGCAGAGAGGTCTCTAACATCATTCAGATCTGGAAACTACTTCCTGTTTCCTTTTTCGCATTTTCTCCCCTCCTTCTCCCTAAGCCCGCACTTCTCATCCAATTCCTAACCCTTCCTTCTTAACCCTTGGGTCCTCAAGCAGTTAAAAATGGCATGGTGTTCAGACAGTTCGACCTGGGCTGGAGTCACATGTGTTGAGTTCAGATCCAGTCCTGGCTCTGCTGCCGTCTGATGGTGAACCACTGAGAAGTCACGGAAGCTCTCTGCTCTGTAACAGTGCCTTCTGGGAGATTGCTGAGAGAATTAAGAGAGTAAATATATCTAAAGTGCTTAGCATGGCACTTGGTATATAGTAAATGCTCAGTAAATATTAAATACCGGAATCACCTTCATAACCAGCATCAGTTCTGTGAGGGCATAGCATAAAAGCTACAAAATAAATATTATGATTAAGTATAGGGAGATGCTATGCCCTTATCTCTAAATGACGTAACACCATAAAGCAATTCCAAATATAGTTCTCTCTACTTCCCTGAACAAATATGAGTATGGTTCCAAATAAGATAACTGTGAACAATCATACTTGGGAAAGAGGAGGAATTTACTTTTTGGGTTGATTTATATCATGGTTGTGAGCAGTTGTCTTCAGAATTCATGAAAGGGCACCAATTCCCAAGTGAAGTAATGGAAATCCTTTGATTGCTGCATTCCGCAAACCACCATCAAAGTGTTTATTTAGTCTAAACGCCTAAGGTTCATCCTCTCAAGAGGTTTTATAGCTAACAGTTTATCCTTAAGCTCAAGAACTCATATCACCAGTGGAATTTTTTCCACCAGAATAAAATATGTAGGTTTCAATGCTGAGGAAATACATGCATGCATTTTATGACTGGTTTTCTTAGAATTTCTCAAGATTGAAGTAAGGATTTTGCTTTACATGTTATACAGTGCAAACATTTATTCTATCTCTATCTTTTCTTCAGATTCTTAATCAAAATGTTTATCTTAGTTATCTGTCCTTGCAATTATCTTTTGTTAGCATCTTGTACTTCTTATTTATTTAGGAATGAAGTTCTCTCATTTTCTATCTTTTCATTACCGAAGTTGCACAAAGTTGAAAGCATTTGTCCTGAAATATTGAAACAGCAGAGTCCTGGATACTGAATGGGACAAAATATAGATAACTGAAGTATGGCCAAAGGACTGCTTAGGGCCCCTGAAACTCAAAAACTTTGTATATACTAGAGCAGGAAAACAATTGACAAAAAAAAGAGTATTTTAAGGAAACCCCAAAAAAATAAGTAGAGTAGGAAAAGTCCCTCCAAAACAGCTGCATGTTAAAGCTGACTTGAAGAAATTAGACAAAACGAATACCATTTCATGTCTTTTAAACGGAAGTATTGATTAAAGGGATTGAAAAAGGTTATACTCCACTAAAAAATTACCCATGTAGTATAACCAACATACCTGATATAACAACATTGCATTATATCAAAGAGGTATTATGTGGTCTTACCACTGGGACAACTTAATTTTTGATGGTTGAACTTCTTTAAAAGGCTGGGTTTCCATTCTTTGAGGCAGTGCCAGCTAAGAAGTTGGCAAACCTTGTTCCCATCACTTTATCTAATCCCCTCTCTCTTTATTTTAGGGTATACTTGCCTGGTGGGGACACCCCCACCACTCTGCCCCACACCACTTACCCTGCTCCAAGCCTGCCTTCCAGAGGAGAGCCCCCTCCAGCAAAAGGCACCCCCAGCTGCTCACAAACCCCCAGGAAAAGATTTGATAGTTGCACTCATGTTACCATTATTAGCTGATAAATTGGGGTACTATCTAGTTTAAATATTGTATGTTTTAATAAACATTAAAGTCTATGTTTTAATATGTTACCTTTTCCAAGAGTGATGGGGTGGTTCCTTAATAATTAATAATTCCAAATGACTAAATGCTGAAATTTTCTGCATGTGAGAGCTTTCTGAATCTTCATGTAGGATATCTGCCTACCTCACCCTCATTTGTTGCCATAAAGTGACCACCTGGGACAAGGTATTAGCTATATGACATCATTTCATTCCCAGCCACAGAGAGATGAAGCCTTAGAAATTCTTACCCGTGGAAAACAAGCTATAGGAAATCATCCCACATAAAAGAAAGAAACCAATTAAAGGTTGCCTAACTTCCCAAAATTAAAGATGAGATTTTTTTCAGCATTTTAAGTAGTATGTGTAGGTTGGGGGAGAATATATTTAAAGTCGAAGAATGGTTTAGCACTCAAGGTTTTCCAAGTTTTTTATTATTATTTTTAGCCCATGAGAGAAAATAAAATTAAAGTTGTACTAAATAATTTAATGAGCAGCACAAATTGCATCCAAGTTAAGTGAAGAATTGAGCAATTATCAAAAGATGTGTCCTCCCCAAATGCTCAGTTTTGTGAAATATCTATATTTTTAAAATAAAATGACAGTGTAGCTTGAACTAGGTGATAATTGACTCAATTCTCCAATTTATTTTACAAATGTAGTCAACATCAGACTGATAAAATTATATCTGTTATAAAGAGACCTCAAAGGCCGAGCCATCCGGGTTCAGAAAATTGAAAACAAAGTGAAATGTTTACTCCAAATCAAACCCAGAACTTCTTTTGAAATTCACTGAAAGAGCAATCATTTCCAATGTCTTTTCACCTTCTGGTATGAGATGGAAGTCAAACTGGAAATACTGAAACCCTTTAAGAAAGGCAGTAAAACAAACAAGCCTTCTCGTAAGACTTCTAGATGAAAGGGTTTTGAATGAGCATTTAATCATGTGGATCCTGGCTGAAGCCAAGCTGAACCTCCAGGGTCTACCTGCGCTCATTCTGTGGAGCCCACAGAGAAATGGAGACGCACTGCATCTCCCTACTGGGAACACCGACGATGAAATTATTTCTGCAGGGAAACAGTATTTACATTAAGCCCACAGTAGTGGGTCCATCTGGCAAAAGAGAACCAGGATGCTGTGCTTTGGCCGGGCTGTCTGGACTTAGCCTTGTGATTTCGAATTCTGTGCTCTCACCATCTGTGCCTTCCTGTGCGTGCCCAGGATATTAAGCCTACATCAATGTGCACACGAATTTCCCTAGCTGATCTTAAATTCTGTGTATTTGTGTAATGGAAGACCGTTCTGACTTCTAAAACATGTTTTTGGAAAGATGGTTGGATAGAATATGACAAGGCATATTAATAAAATTAAATTATTAGCTACTTATAAAGCGCTCCCAAAGGACAAAGTTGATGAATCACAATTTAAATTTGATTAGTCTCATGAGTCAATTAAGAAAGCCAGTCTCCCAAGATATTTTTGAACTTGTAGTATTTTGAAATTTGATTATATGTTTGATTAGCTGCCACAGTGACAAATCAACCTAGTAAAATCCAAACTTTCTACGGTGCCATGAAGATGTAACCAACAGTCAAAGAGGACAAATACCAGGATTTGCTGAACAGCAGGGCAAGCTTTCCTGGCATCTTTCATTAGTCACTGGAGACTATAATCTGAATAAACCAGCTCTGCCAAGAGGTGGCCCTAGCATAATGTGGCATCATTCCAGAGCTGCTTTTTCTTCTTCCTTTTGGAAGGTGACAGTTCCCTTTCCCTGAGACAGGATATCTAAGTGCTGCTGCACACTCTGAGAAATCATGCTCACCACTGTCACACGAAAGAATTTACAAAGTTACATTTCCACACTCTTTTGGCTTCCACCACATCCTGACAATACCCAGACTATATGTTTCACTTGTTCTGAAGCCATATATAAATAATAGAATGATATAAAGGATTAAACAAACTGCTTTCCGAAAATGGAGTTTGCAAATCACATGCTACAGCAGGTTTTGCTTCCAAAACATCTCAGCTCCTCTCCTGGGTGTCAGTAGTACCCGCCGCAGAAAAGTCACTGAGTTAGTCTTCCTAAGGACTGGCTAATCTTACAGAAGGTAATTCTGAAAGAGGAAAAACCATAGAGATCCTGGAATATTACTTTGAGGAGTTTGTCTTAGATGGAGTTGATAGCACCAGAAAAAAGCAGGGGAAAGGCTTTTAAACAAGGAATAGAACAAATGCTCTTTTTAAGAGCCTGAGCAAGGGGCGGACAGGGGGTGGAATCAGTGTTGATAATCTAGTGACTGCCGCGCACTGAGTCATCATTAGGTGACTCTTGCAGGCCGACTTGGAAAGTCATGTGGCTTAGGTTAATGTTGTTTAGGATTTTTTTTAATTAAACTCTTTTAAGGAAGTATTACATATCATTTGTATGTATGCAATGCAAGTTATAAAGTGTGCAGAGCTTTATGAATTCTTACAAAAGCTCTAAAGTGAATTCTTACAAAATAAATGCTCTTACACTGTGACACCCAAATTAAGAAATAGATCATTGCCTGCATCTTAGAAGACTCCCTCAAGGTTCCTCCAAGCCACTACCCCATCCTCTTCAAACACTGTAAATTGGGAAGCCTATATGAATGGCATCAGGTAGCGTGTACCTTTTGTGTCTGTCTTCTTTCCCTCAATGTCACGTTTGTGAGATTTATAGGGGGTCCTGCACATCATGGATCCTTGCTCTTTTTCATTGTTATATAGTTTTCAACTGTGTAAATTCACAAATTAACTGTGTGACTGACTGTACATGTCCATTTTATTGCTGATGGACATTTGGGTCATTTCCAGCTATCACAAGCAATGAATGCTATCCTAAATATAATTGTGCTTGTTATATGCTTTTCTGTTGTGAGTATTCCTGGAAATGGGATTTCTGGTCGTAAGGCAGGCTCATTTTTGACTTGAGTAGAGAGCACCCAGCAGTTTGCCAAGTGATCCTGCGAAATGACACTCCCACCTGCGGTTTATGAGACGTCCAGTTGCCGTGTATCTTCTCTCCCACTTGAAGCTGCCTTTCTCATTTTAGCCACTTTAATGGGGACAGAGTGGTGTACACAGCACATGAGTTTTATGATGGCCAAGGAGACTGTACAGCTCTTCATATGGGTGCTGTCTACTTGGATAACCACCTCTGTGAAGTATCCATACAGGTCTGTGTATTGTTTGGTTTTGCTTGAATCATTTCACTGTTCTCTCTTTTCAGGTGGAAAATTTGTATTTGTGGGAGACCAGCTCAGAGCGGACCTGCACCAAATCTCCATTGCTCACCCAGGCCTCACAGCTCTAGCAGGTGGGTCTCACTTAATCTTCTACCCCTGTTTTTGATCAATTGAAATGTCTCAGTAAGGGAAAGTAAATGATCAAAACAACACAGCTCATAATGATGAGAGCTAGGACTTAAACTCAGGGTTTTCATTAATTTCTACTTGAAGTATTGACGGTAGGCAATGTTTCATAACCAAACGAATAAGATCTATTATGTAATGAAGGATATCCAAAAAGGAAATGTTTGAAAAGTACGTTTGCATTTGCTTTCACATGTGTTTGGGACACTTAAGAGCCCACAGAGGAGAGAAGCTATAATAGGAAAGTGCCAGCCGAGCGGCTCTTAGAGAAGCAGCTTGCGACCACAGACTGTCAGAAACGAGGGGTCCTTAGCCGCATGTATTGACAATGCTATGAATCCTTCCCACAGGGGCTTCCCAACACTACAGAAACACAGTTACTACAACTGATACTTCTGCAAATCCTAAATTAAAGTCAGGACTACTAAGCCCAGCTTCACATTTTATCCACGAAATTCTCCTGATGAAAACGCATTTTACCCAAGTGTTCAATGGAAGAGAGTTAAGTTGTTCATCTAGGTTTCCTGGGCCTTTTAGTACATTTCAAACACAGAAGACAGTCTTTGAATTTAGATGATGTTAAATTGAGGAGGAAAGAAAAGGCAGAAAGGAGAGCCGCCACGTCATGTGAGCGGCTGGCATCCGGATATATGACGGTCTGAGATTACCTATCATAGAACCTCTGTTATGCACATTATCGTAATCACCAGGCTCTCTGTCTACTTGGAACGTGGCTCAAATTGGTCCCACGGTTTACCGTCGGGGCAGGTCAGACGGTTCATGTACTGAGCGTGAGAGCATTCTGAATTCTGCAGGACATACAGAGGCATGGTCGGTACCCTTCAAATTACCAAAATTGGAGGCCAGCATTTTCAGTTAATTAATGCCTTCTCTGACTTTTAAAAATACATGCAAATTTACGTGGTAAATTTGTATTATGTAGGTGGAACATTTTACTATTTGGCTTCATAGAAGTCAATCCAAAACTCACAGCAACGCAGAACTAACGGCCCTGAACCTGGACAAGAGACACGGCTTCTGGTGCCGGCGAGGTTTCGCCTCTCTGGGTTTCCGTGTCCCTCCCACAGCGCGGAGGGCAGACACCGCATCTCTCATGCCCGCTGGGCTGAAGGCCCGCCGCCCATCTCGGTACTTCCCCTCGGACTGCAGGCAAGCGCCCCGGGTGAGTGCGCCCCCAGAGCTGGAATCCAGGGCCCGGAGGGGAGCCGTGCGCTCGCCCAGCTGCTTAACCACACGTGCGTGGGTGCAGACTCCTGGCTGTACCCCTTTCCGGGCGGGGGGTCACAGCCACCAACTCAGCCACCAGCAGGTCTCAATCAACGAGAGAATGGCTGGAGGAGCTGAAGGAAATTCTGGGGGAGAAATAAAAGAGAGTGAAATGGGGGGAAGACAGCCTCCGCGCGCGACGCCTCCCGGAAACCGAGCCGCACCGCGAAGTCATGCTGAGAACGATGCGTGAGGCCCTGGCCACGTGCTGGGCATTCCGCGCCGAAGGACCGGGGCACGCGCACCCGCGAACAGGCCATGGGTCACTGGCTCTCCTCGGCTCCCCCTTCTGGAGACGTGTTTAGAGTCCAGGTCCTTATAATTTGACACTTGCATTCAGATTTTAACCAATATATTACCAAATTTACATTTCCCTGTATGGCCCCGGAAGACGGCTGGTTAGCCAGAGACGGGTAAGATTCCTCAAGGGAGGAACAACCTAAGACAGGCACAGTCGCAGGGGGGCCATCAGGTGAGAAATTGGGGATCAACAGAGGTGAGGCTTAGAACCTCACCCCCCTGCTTTGAGAGAAATCTTCTGCATCCGTGGATGTCTTGCTGCCCTTGTCTAGCTTGGATTAATACTTAGTCTACAGGCACACACCTGATCATCTACATTTGTCCTCTTACAGCACTAAAGTATGCTTTCTATCTTTATCTTGCATCTACCTACCACTTCAGCATTTTATTTAAAAAAATATAAGGGAGAAATGTGGGATTCACATATAAATCAAGTATAAAGATAGAATGAATAATCATATCTGACTTGATTGTTTATAGTTCATGATGCGTGATCAGAACCGAAAATTTTTGTGATGACTGCCCTTGCCCTGTCCACCATGTAAGAATTTGTTTGTTATGCTTCAGAAGATTGGACACTGTTGAGAATTAGGCTTGGGGTTGATTAATGATTGTGCATTGACTCCCCTATACAGAATTTTATTGTTATAAACAACCATTTGATCAATAAATATGAGAGGTGCCCTCTCAAAAAATAAAAAAATAAAAATTTTAAATTAAAAAAAATTTTAACCAATATAGATGTGCCCCCAAACTGCATGTTTCTACAGTAACAGTTTCCTGGCTGCATCTCTTACCTGGTTCCCTGCAAATGACATTATCAGTTGCCTCATCCGTAAAATGGGAATAATAAATGGAGCCTTTTTCATAGGATTGTTAGAAGAGTTAAATGAGCTACTTTTCTTTCTAAAGTACTGAGAATATTGCGTGGTACATAAGAACAGCATAGATATTTGTTAAATAAAATAAATCTCTTTTGTTGAAATTTAACTTTCCATATTTTGATTCCTTTCTCCCCAAGTTTCCCTGAAGGGAAAAGATTATGCCATTGTTATTTGTGTTGCCAACAGGGAAGCAAGAAACCAGGCCAGAAGGAAGGAAAGAATATGATATTTTAGCGAACAGTTTCAATAAGCCAAGCACTATACTAGAGGATTAAAAAAGATACATTTCCCTAGTTGATCTTCCAAAGACCTTACAAATTGGTTAAGATTCTCCTTTTAAAAGTGAGAAAATAGGATCAAAGAGAGTAGGTTCTTGCCAATGAGGCATAGTTGTGACTCAAAGAATAATTTTAATAGATTTTTGCCTTTCACTGTTTATTTCTAAATCTGGCTCTTTCAAATGTCTAAGGCTGCAGTGTGCTGAAAGTAGTGACAGCAGAGACAGCGGGGCCACACTCAACTTCATATATGTCATCAGCCTGCTACCCACTCACTTTCTGTCTAACAATGTCTTCTCATAATAATTGTCACATGCGGTGTTACACTTAGTGTGAACTCGCTGGCACTCATGTTAAAAAGCAGCTTTGCTGAACCCAGGTGTCCAGCGAGGTATGAATAGATGTCCTCTGAAAACAGAACTGCAATCAAAAATGTTTGTCGAACTCTAGATGAGACCGTTAAACTGGCTGCTCTGCTGCATAACTTCTCAGAACATTGTCTATCGCAGTATCGCTGTGTATCTCCTAGGAGGGTGCAGAATACACAGCCACGCCAGCGTGCGTTTTGCTACAAGAGATTTATTTCAATCCATTAACATCTCACCAGTCACTGGTGTTCAACAGACCATGGTTTAGAAAATCCTGCCTTAAAAAAAAAAAAGACCAGACAGAATGAGGAAGCACATAAAAGTTGAGAACAAGTTAACACAAATATCAGACTATCGAGAGGAACCTTTAAGCCAAAGGACAGCATTTTAATAGAGACACTAATGAAATTAACTTCTCCAGGCCAGAGGCGAGAACCAGGCCCAGTTACTTGTAGAGACTCAGCTAATCCGTGTTGACTAATCAATAGATGAATATGAGCCAGTTGCTCTGTTTAAAGAAAAATGTATTGGTGTTTCTTTTCCTCTTCCTATGGAGAATCAGAGTCATAGAAAGGAAGGGAGAATAAATGACAAAACACTTATACACTTCAAAATGTTGGTGCCTCTATTAAAATTAATTTACTTATGCAAAAAATTTTTAAAGACTATCCATTTGTTTAACAAATACCTGATGAAGGGACAGAAAGAAACTCAGAGCAAGAAGAAGGGGGACAATTTGTGGAAGGGACACCACTACAGACCCAAGGGACCAGACCCTAGGGAATAGAGATCACACGTGTGTGCACATGCACACATGCACACACACATACAGGCACACCAATCTCAAGCATCTAGAGTTTTGAAAACAAATGTCCTTACTCTACTGGAAAACATTTGAATATTTTCACTCTTTCTGTCTACGAAATTGCTGAGAGCAGGAAAACCTATGTCATATGGAGAGATTTTTATATGGTTTTGGATTATTCAGTCACAAATATGTCAAATTTATTTTAGACAGGACTGATAGAAAAGAAAAAGGAATGAGCAAAGACACTTGGTCATGTGGCTTGTGACATATTTTTTTCCTAGTATATCTCTTTCTTCATTCCTCCACAATCCTTTTATTCTCTGCTCTCCCCCCTGTTTTTCCTTCAAAACCTATTTTGGTTATTTCTCAACTTGGCCTTTCTTGTCTTACTAAGAAAATGTGGTGCTTACTATATGACCACTGCTAGGAATTTATCCAAAGAAAACAAAATCTGTGACTCGAAAAGATATATGCACCCCTGTGCTTATTGCCACAATTATTTGCAATAGCCAAAATATGGAAGCAACCTAAGTGTCCATCAAAAGATGAATGAATAAAGAAGATGTGGTACATATACACAGTGGAATACTATTCAGCCATAAAAAGAAGGAAACCCTGCTATTTGCAACAACATGGATGGAAGGAAACTCAGTGAAATAAGCCAGATGGAGAAAGACAAATACCATATGATTCCACCTACAAGAGGAATCTAAAACCAAAACAAAACAAAATGAATGAAACAGTAACAGACTTGTAGACACTGAGAAGTGACTGGTGGTTAACATTGGGGAGGAGTTGGAATGGGTAGGTGGGGATGGGAAAGGGGTTAAGGGATCACAAAAAAATCTCAAGCATAATATAAATTGGTCAAAGGGATGCTAGAACAGCATGGAGAATACAGCCAATGATCCTGTAAAATCTTTGTATGTTGACAGATAGTAACTGCACTAGTTGGGGTGAGGATTTAATAATGTCTGTAACTGCTGAACCATTGTGTTCTATACTTAAAACCAATATAATATATTGTGTATCAACTATAATTCAATAAAAAAATACACTTAAAAAAGAAAAATGAGATTTAAAGAGATTATAAAAAGAAGAAATCAGAAAAATAGGGAAATGGATCAAAGATATTTCTGGTGAAAGAGACATCCAGATGGACATTAGAAGTGAAAAACTATATGTAGCCTAAAGCTACTCCCAGAAATACTCATGATTTGAAAAGATATATGCACGCACTCCTATGTTTACTGAAGCATTATTTACTATAACCAAAATATGGAAACAACCTAAGTGCCCATTGGTAGATGAGTGGATAAAGAAGTGGTATATATATAGTGGAATATTACTCAGACATAAAAATGAACGAAGTCTTTCCATTTCATTTGTGACAACATGGTTGGACCCAGAGGGCATTACGCTGTGAAATAAATCAGAGACAAATACCAGGCAATTTCGCTAATATATGGAATCTAACAAACAAACCCAATGAACAAACGAAACAGAAATAGACTCATAAACACAGAGAACACACTGGTAGTTGCCACAGAGGAATGGGTGGAATAGCTGAAGGCGATAAAGAGGCACTAATTAAATAAACGAGGAGCTGTAAAGGTTGTCTTCTTGCCAACTTCACGGGGTCACACGTCTGGATATAGAGCTCAGTCTATAGAACAGACTCTGGGTGCAGTGTGCTAATTAAAAGGAACTCATTTTCTCTCATTCCTTATGATTTCCCTTCCGGCTTCACGTGCAGCAGGGACCCATGATTCCAGCACTTTCTTTTTTGAACCACACCTGTGCGTTTTCAAGCAGTGTGGCAGCACTGGTTACAACTGTTACAAAGAGAAAAAAAGGTTAAAAGGGAGTAAGAATGTGAGTGTGCACACATGGGCAAAATGTGAAAAAGGCCCCCCACCCGACCCAAGCTGCTCCATATGTTCCTGGTGTTTAGCGCAGCCCTCGGTCGCAGCGCCGCGTATGAATTTGCTCTGCAAATGAAAATGTTGGCTTGTGCTCCCCTGGTGTTTAAGAAGGTGAGGGATGACCTTGGTGGGAGTATGTTTGTGTAGAAATGTGTCATAAAAGATGATGTCTTGGCCCAAGAAATGCAAGGTACAGGTTTAGACATTTGTTAAAAAAAAAAAAAAAAGCAGAGTTAAACATAACTAACTCATAATGAGTGTAGGCTCTTGCCAAATACAACTTTCTTGTGAATCTGACATGTCAGCTTTTACCCTGTGTTTTTAAGGAATATTTTTATCATTTTCCTTTAAAGAGTTTCCCAGCTTGATTTTGGTCATTTTTTAAGTTACAAAACAAAGCAACAAGTGGTATATATTTTTCACTGGTTAAGACATTAAAATGTTATCAATTGGTTTCTCTCCTTTTGCACATTTATTGGATAATTACTGATTCAATGCAATTGGGCATTTATTTTTTGAAATGTTTAAGATTTGGCAGGCTTTGCATATTCATTTATGCCCTTATTTTGAGGCTTGGATATTAAAATGTCGGTAATAGATTTGAGTAAGGAACTGCTGTTTAAAACATCTTCCCCCTATCATTTGTGTTACTAGTTTCCATGTTACATGTTAAATAAAATAAGTTGATGCCACCCACCCACAGAGCTCTTTGGCAAATCACATTTTAGGGAAAGCCCCACAGACAGATATCAAAAACAGACTGGCTTCATCTGTCTACACTGCTTCCCAGAAAGTGGTTCCCACAATGTTCTGCAAGTCTAACATTTGTTTTTTTCTAAAGGCATAAATAAAATCCATATTTCAGGTTGACAAATATTGTCACTTATGGTGAT